CGGGCGTTGTGAAAACCCGGAATGCCGGAATATCACGGAATATGGCGGAATATCACGGAATATGGCGGAATATCACGGAATATGCCGGAATATTGCGACATTTTCCCGGAATATACCGGAACATCACGATATTTTCCAATGGTAGCCATGGGCATGTACTAAAAGGCGAAACGTCAAAACGAAACGACCGAAACGAAAGGGCCGAAAATGTAAATTACAGGAAAATTGAAAAATGCGGATACGGACGGACGGACAGGCGGATGGACGGGGGAGACAGGCGGATGGACGGGGGAGACATGCGGATGGACGGGGGAAGAGGCGGATGGACGGGGGAGACAGGTGGATGGACGGGGGAAGAGGGGGATGGACGGGGGAAGGACAGGCGGATGGACGGGGGGACAGGCGGATGGACCGGGGAGACGGCTTCATTTGACACGAAACTCAATTTTAAAATCAAATCCGCGTTTTGTTGAAAGGGATATATTAGGATATATTATAAAAGACTATTATTAATCGTAATAAATTGTCCGCGAAAAGTTGATAAAATACATGTGGAAATGCGGGGTTTTTCAAACCTTCGTAACGCTTGATCGGATAAAACGTGGATATGCTGCAACTTTCATGCTTAATTTTCTCAGTCATCTGGGTATGTAGTAATCTAATTTTATGCAATGTAATGTGTTATATTTTCAAGGGCTTTTCAATGCAGTTATCGGTTTAAATATACCTAAAATTCCCGTTAAGAGATATGACAATTGCCGTACGGCCCACTTTTACGCAAACGAAAATTAGCTGCAATTGCCACTTTCATGCTTAATTTTCTCTGTTATCCGGGCATGTAGTAATGTAATTTTATGCCAATGTGATGTGCTGATGAAATTTGCAGTTGTAATTTGCGTTTGCGTAAAAGTAGTCCGTACGGCAATTGTCATATCTCAACGGGAATTTGAGTTATATTTAAACCGATAACTGCATTGAAAAGTCCTTGAAAAAACAGCACATTACATTGCATAAAGTTAGATTACTACATACCCAGATAACAGAGAAAATTAAGCATGAAATTTTTGCAATTGTAGCTAAATTAAATTTTCGTTTGCGTAAAAGTAGGCCGTACGGCAATTGTCATATCTCTGAACGGGAATTTTAGGTATATTTAAACCGATAACTGCATTGAAAAGCCCTTGAAAATATAACACATTACATTGCATAAAATTAGATTACTACATACCCAGATGACTGAGAAAATTAAGCATGAAAGTTGCAGCATATCCGCGTTTTATCCGATCAAGCGTTACGAAGGTTCGAAAACCCCCGCATTTCCACATGTATTTTATCAACTTTTCGCGGACAATTTATTACGATTAATAATAGTCTTTTATAATATATCCTAATATATCCCTTTCAACAAAACGCGGATTTGATTTTAAAATTGAGTTTCGTGTCAAATGAAATCCGCCTGTTCCCCCGTCCATCCGCCTGTCCCCCCTCCTCCATCCCCCTCTTCCCTCGTCCATCCACCTGTCCCCCCCCGTCCATCCGCCTCTTCCCCCGTCCATCGGCCTGTCTCCCCCGTCCATCCGCCTGTCCCCCGTCCGTCCATCCGTATCCGCATTTTTCAATTTTCCTGTAATTTACATTTTCGGCCGTTTCGTTTCGGTCGTTTCGTTTCGGTTGTTTCGTTTCGGTCGTTTCGTTTCGGTTGTTTCGTTTCGGTCGTTTCGTTCGTTTCGGTGGTTTCGATGGTTTCGGCCGTTTCGTTTCGGTCGTTTCGTTTCGACGTTTCGCCTTTTAGTACATGCCTTACAAAATAGGGTTTCCCAAAGCAGTTCTAAAATTCAAATTATCAATGACCTATGCTGTTATTAATAATTACAGTAATTTGGCAGTTTGATTGCTTGAATTAAAAACAAAAGATCTAGGACTCAACAGAAAGAAATATTTCTTAACATCAAATATTAAAGATAGTTGGAAGCATTCATACAATTGAAGGTTTTAGAAAGTTTGATTATCAACTACATTTACATAAAGCAATAGCAATTATGTTATATTGCTTGCGAATATATTATTAAAGTTGCAATTATTCTTCTCTAGCTTCTAATACATTTTAATCTTGGTGTGATTCCATGGAACTATAAAATAACATATGATATGTTGTATGTAATAAATATACAAATACTAAGGAGTAAGAACCATTTTTGGTGTCAATGTTTTATATATTGACTATTTAAGATTTTAAGTCTATTTTTGCCACTGATAAACTGACTAAAATATGTCTTTCAATGTTGCTATATCTTTTACAAAAGAATATACAAATACATTCACAATTTTGCCATGAAGCAATGACGATAGCTCAAAATGTTTTATTTGGAATTGGTGGAACTATATTTATATATAAATATGCTTCAAAAACTATCCAATCTTGAGTAAGAAATTAGTCACGTGCATACGTCTTTATACCAGCTAAAGAACACTTTAACAAAAGACCATTGTTATGCAAACTATATAAAGGTTTTTATATAAAGATTTTTATATAAAGATTTTTATATAAAGATTTTTATATAAAGATTTGACTTATTATGCATACGTTTTTGAAGTCATTTAAAAAACTCGCAGGTCGTGTTTTATTAGGTCTAAAGCTTTAAACCTAATAAAACACTCCTGCTCGTCAGTTTTTAAATAGTACATCAACAATGATGGTTTGTCCATAGGGTTTGTCTATGGGCGCCCTTCATACGGGTCGACAAATATTGATATTTTCGGAAAAAATAATTAAATTTTGCCTACCTGTTATTCACAATATGAAGCTCCAACGATCTGGCATCATTTACAACAAGGTGCACACTTAAAAAACCAAAATTGACTGCATAAAAGAGGATTTATTATCAACGGCTTTGTCCATTTCCGCAATACAAAATATACAAATTATCACGCTCCGTGGGAACGACCAATATGGCCGCCGCACGTAAACTGCGAAAATTTGAATCTTCAAAATTTCTGAATTTTCTTAGTTCTTTATGCCTATCTTTTATTACATGAAGGTCTGTAATAAATGAACAAAAACTTAAGTTCTTCAATCTTTAGAAACAGGTTCGTTAAGGTTACAGAACACCTTTGAGTGTTAATTTTGCCTAAAATTTTTTTATTGGTTTCCATGAAAGCATTAGACTAGTTCTACTATCTGACCAAGTTTGAACGAAAAATGTTGAAAACTCGCAGAGTTATTTAATAAAATACATTTCGCTGCAATAAGAAAAACATTTAAAATGTAATATTCAAATTAAATTTTCTCCCGAAAAAGTTTACGGTAATTACTGATTTTCAAACGAGTTGTGCTCCTGCGGATTTTAACCAATTTTTCTCAAATTTTCACAGGACATAGCTAAAGACGTCAGTTTCAAAATTGTGTTCGGCTTTTTTTTTAATTTTGGATATTTTAAAAATAAAGAGCAATTCACTCAAACAATTCAGAAATATATTCAAGTCGTCAAAGAAATCGCCATATCAGCGGAATGACGAAATAAACAAAAATTTCCGAACACAATTTTTTAGAACAACTATTTTACTGTATAAAAATGATATTCTCATAAATATAACTTAAAACCAGCAGGAGCACAACTCAAAAGCGTAACGGTACCGCGATTTAAGATTTTCCTGAATAATTCTTACATTATTTTATTGTTTTTTAATTTTACAACTTTACCATATTTTGCATGCACTGGAGAACATTTGGTGAAAATTTGATGAAAATCGGACTGATATTGAGCGCGCAGTAGCGATTTTCCGCAAAACGCCAAAAAGGGTGTCCTGTAACCTTAAGTTCAATTGAATTACATGAAACCAAATCACCAAATGATACTTAGAATTCCAAACAAATGCAAATCGCTCAGCGTGGGCGATCTCCTTATAAGGACGTTGAGACTTGAGAGGCTGACGTTCAAATCACGAGATGTTTTGAACACAATACATATTACGACAAAATTAAGGTGTTGTCTCAAACACAAAATACAGTCGACGCCGTCTAAATCAACTTGTTACAGAATCTTCAAAATGTAATAATCTGTCACCATCCCTCGACATTGTCATTGGTAAGTGTAATTTTGCTTTTAACTCGCTCACAAATCTGCTCTACAGGAAGAGCGGGTGGACGTCTTCATAGCTAAAGTCTTGTCTTCGCTACAACCATAGACTATTTATGTTGCGTGCTAGTGATCTGTTATGCTTGCGTGGTAGTGAGGACCAGGCTTCATATAGGTAGAGCAGTCGACTAGATTCTCAATGTTTGAGAATTCCAATCTTGCGTATTTATACCGCGGTACTACTAAACCCTGTGGACACGATAGTGAGACAGACAGAACACAAGAATTCACCAGCAATCTCTGTAGTGTAAACTTGATAGCTTGACAGGGGAGGCTGTATGGTTGAAGGTTGAATGGTCAAACCACATTTTGGGCGATGGATCTAGAGAATATTTTCAACTTTTGTGTGTTTATAAAGAGCAAGATCTCAGCTGTTAATAGTTCAGCATACTTGATGCGCCTCAGTAGGCAGAACAGCGAGATTATTTCAACTGAAGGCAGCACGATTATTAAAGTCGCAAAGCTCTTCAGTGTCCGGATTTTCTTGGGGGCGAATGGTAAAATGATCTCAAGATGAATTTGCAAAATCGAAAGAACCGCAATGTATAACTGTACAAGTATGTACTCTGTTCACATAAAACAAATAATTAATCGGACTTATTGCTGTGTAAATCTACACTCTATATAGGCTGTATTGCTCAATAAATTAAAACTTTGCAGCATTATTGCATTAAAGCAGTACAATAACTAGGTAGTTACAATAACTCAGAAAGCTGTGGATTGAGAAAGATTCAACAAAACAAAATACAGTAAAGCTTCGACGTTCCGAGCGAAGGTCCTTCTTCGAAGAGTCAGAAGACACCAGATAACGAAGGATCTTATTCAAAACGTCGATTTTCAGATCGCTTAATCCCTCTCAATCCATAGCTTTCTTCCATTCTAAAAACTGTCAACGGTCTAGTTTAAAAAACAGTTAGAAAATATTACAATGCACTTGATAGAGTCTGTTCAGTGACACGATTAATTTAAAAAATTACTTCATTTTTAAATGAATCATGTATATTTCCGTAAAGAGGCTATAAGTGCTTTAGCACTAAATATTGGGCATAGAGTTCCAGTGTATGAACACTATCTATGTGATTGGCTTATCTGCATCTAACATTCAGCTTTACTGCTGTTATAAAACATTGGACTGGGCTTGAGGTAAAATGAAATAATCAGAAATGTGTCTAGTGCAGGAATCAAAGCTGGCCACATCCATAATTTAACAACAGTTGTTTCGTTTTTTAGCTAAGCATTCAACAATGGCACACAGCTATCAGCAAGGTTATGATGACAGACGTTTTGAAGGTCGAGTCAGAGAAGATCTATTTTGCTCCATTTGTCAAGGGGTGCTCAGAAATCCACGAACTTGCCAGAATAAAGAACATCCATTTTGTCTTTCTTGTATATCTCAACATCTTCGTAATTCCCACACATGTCCTGAATGCAGAGAACACCTGACCCCAGAAACCCTCAAAGATCCACCGAGATTTTTGAAGAATACCTTATCAGAGCTGAAGATCAAGTGCGATTACAATGAGCGAGGATGTCCGGGCTACGTCCAGCTTGGAAATCTACAGCATCATGTTGAGCGATGTGGCTTCGCGCCTGTTATGTGTGGAAATGAAGGATGTGGGACGGTGGTCAATAAAAAAGATAAAGAAATCCACGAGCGAGAACTCTGCCAGTTTAGAATCGCCAAATGCCACGACTGCAAAGATATTAAAGCAAGTCAAGATGAAATGAAAGCAAGTCAAGATGAAATGAAAGCAAGTCAAGATGCAATAAAGGTAAAAA